CTCTTAAAGGGAGAGTTCACCCGATATCGACTCTTAAAGGGAGAGTTCACCCGATATCGACTCTTAAAGGGATAGTTCACCCGATATCGACTCTTAAAGGGAGAGTTCACCCGATATCGACTCTTAAAGGGAGAGTTCACCCGATATCGACTCTTAAAGGGAGAGTTCACCCGATATCGACTCTTAAAGGGAGAGTTCACCCGATATCGACTCTTAAAGGGATAGCTCACCCGATATCGACTCTTAAAGGGATAGCTCACCCATTGACTTCCATAGTATGGGGAAAATATATACTCTGGAAGTCAATGGGGCCATCAACCGTTTGGTGACCCATAGTCTTCAGAATATGTTCTTTTGTGTTCAGCAGAAGACATACATTTGAACCTGTAATATTACAGTAATGTAGCGGCTGACAGGGCTTCTAAATAGTTTACAGCATTAGTTCAGAGAGATTGTTTTCCTTGAGAAAAATTGATGTACTGTATCTGATCCAAATGAATGGATATGGAATCAAAATGAGAGCTGAATGGAATCAGGTGTCGGTGAATGGACTGATGGATGTGTGTGTTGCGCAGCCGCTGTACGACCCAAACTACGGTGTGACGGTGCAGGCGGTGAAGCTGCAGAGGCGGGTGGAGATGTTCCAGTGGGTGGAGTACAGCGAGAGCAGGTCCACACACACCTGACTGACACACACACAGTTCACTCGCAGTCATGCTGGTCACTCGCATTCATCACACTGATCTCATTCCTTTTAGGGACATTAAGGAAAACGGCGAGACGAAGACTGAAACCACGTACTCGTACAGTGAGTGTCGACAGACGCCTGCCGTTTCTCGCAGCGCTCGGGAACGTCACACACACACACACACACACACACACACACACACACACACACTCACTGAGCTTGTGTTTCTTACAGACACTGAGTGGAAGTCAGAGGTCATCAACAGCAGACACTTCGATCAGGAGGTCGGACACATGAACCCCAGGTGTGTGTGTGTGTGTGTGTGTGCAGGGGCGCTGTAAAGGGGGGGTAAACGATGACGATTCTTGGGGCCCATGACTAAGAGGGGGCCCAGAGAAGCCCCCAATAAAATTGTGGTGCTAAAAAAATATATTTGATAGTAAAAATTATTACCTTTAAATTATTCTATTTGCTGTTACCTGGTGTCAAAAAATTGTATTTGTTTAGGAAACACAAACGTCTGTGGGCCCCTCTTCCCCTCTCGATTATCATTAAATGGTTCAGTCCGCCCAAATTGTATCCAGGCAACGTATTTTTACGCTCTGATTGTCAGCGCGCGCGGCACCGCATCCGAGGATGAACGACTTCAAGCCGAATCTGCCCGAGCGTGTACGTCTCAAAAAAGCTGTGTACACAGCTAAGCGAAATGAGGTCTTGCCGGTCTTGCGCACCGAACTTGTCACTTTTGCCGCGCTCGTGCGACGCGGCGAGAATAAACAAGTGTCAGCGTGCGCTCTGATCGGTAAAGGTGCACGGACCTCTCCCAATCATCTCCAGCACTCAGCCTCCGAAACACCAACTAACTTCGCCTCCGTTTCCCTCGTAAGCTGATATTAGTATTTAAACATTCTCTATGATAATTTTTTTTTTTAAATGACACACTGTCTCTTTCTCTCTCATACACACACACACACACATTGTCTCTTTCTCTCTCACACATATGTAGGCTAGTTATAAACTCTTTAGACTTTTAATGATTAGTGCTTTATTTTTAACCCTTTAAGTGTCGCCCCCCTTTTTTTGAATATATACATGAAAATGCACATTTCGAACTTAAATGGTTGTAATTCAAGAATGCTTTGGAATATAGACGTAAAATTGGTCTTGTTTTAAAGAAGACATTTGGCATTTTTGTAGAAGTGAAATAAATTAAGAAAGTGAAACAGAAAAAAAGTTATAGAAGTTTGAGTTTATGAAAATGTACAATGTAAAAAATTTAATTATTCATATTTTATATAAAATATATATTTTCAAAACCTGGGCGACTCTAAAACTGCAAAAAAATCAAAGCCAAAAATCTGAACAAGTTGTGTTTCAAATTTTAGGTTGATATCTCAAAAAATGAGCTTTCAGTGAGATTTTGTTTGGGCGCAGTACCAAAATTTTTCACTAGATGACAACCAGACTCCATCACTGCCCATATAAGGGCGCTCCCATTTCCAAATGTGTTTTGAGTGATCTGAACCATTATTTCCACAATTGTCATACAATTTATGAAGTAGGCATCCTATTCAGAAGTAATATGAGAAGTTTGGCAGATTTTGATATGAATTCAACCTCTAAGAAACACATAAAAAGAACAAGTATGTGCGTTATAGCTTCCTGCCACATCACAAATGGTGAATCTGTAATTTTTTTCTTTATATTTAAAAAAATTCAGACCTTTTTTTCTAAAATAATTGAATGGATGCTATCTTTTGAACTCTTGGCATGAAAACAAACAGGTTTCTACCCTTCTTTCATGATTTTTCA